CCAGCCCCCCATAAAGCCTGAAGGACAGTAAACTGGCCCTTTTCTTAGAAAGTTTGGAGTCCCCTGCTCTAAGAGGTGGACTCTGGGGATCGTTCGGTTACCACATTTTTTAAGGAGGCCAGCAATAGCAACCCATGTATTTCTCTCGTCACAGAAGTCCTTTAAAGGGTTAGTTCATCTTTACCAAAAAACTTACTAAGCAGGTAAGGGGTGTCTGTAAATAATAACAAACGGGGCAGCTTTGATCAAAGTTGATTATCATACAGTGATTAGTGATATTATACACGGTCACTGTACTAATGACACTGTCTGAGAAGGGTTAACGTCTCAGTAATCAAGGGGTTAAATGTATGCCTAACAATGTGTAAATGTGTGTATTATGTGCTGCTTTTTACTAAATATCTCTTTGTTCCTTTCCCTGCTTTGCAGGGAGAAGAAACAGAGATTGTTCTCTCTGTACAAAGCCCTGCAGTGATTGTCAACACAGGGCTCTGGGCTGTGATTAGACACAGCCGATCAGCAGGTCCTGGCCGTGAATCATTGGTCGGGACCTGCTGTCAAACTCCCGCTGAGTACAATCACCGCAAGAGTCGGCTGGCGGGAGTTCGCATGGCACCCTGGACCTGGAAGAGGCCAGGAATGTACAGGTACATCGCTGTGCCTGTAAGGGCCACCCGTCCACAGTACATTGTGGGCAGTTCTAAACTTCTTAACCACTTCCAGTCCGGACACTTTTACCCCCTTCCTGACCAGGGCAATTTTCAGCTTTCAGCGCTATCACACTTTGAATAACAATTGCGCAGTCATGCAACACTGTACCCAAATTTACTTTTTTTTACCATTTTTTGAGACAGATAAAGCTTTATTTTGGTGTTATTTATTCACCACTGGGATTTTTATTTTTTTTTGCTATGTAAATGAAAAAGTCCAAAAATGTTGAAAAAAGTGTTTTTTTAAATAAAAATTTTGCAAATAAATAATATTTCATCATAAATCTTGGACAAAATATATTCCGTTATCTTTTTAGTAAAAAAAAAAATCCAAATTAGTTTATAACCAAAAATTATAATTTTTAAACATTTTTTTTTACATTTTTATATTATTATTTTTTGTTTTTATACATACTGTCACCCTAGCAGTACAGTGTCACTGTACTACTTGTGGGGGGTGATGAAGATTTTTTTTTTTACACTGATTGCTTTTACACCCATATAGGATGTAAAAGCAATCATTTCTCCTTCTCTCTGCATTCTTGCAGTCATTGTAGAAGTACTGAGTGAGCTGTGATTGGTCACAGCTTGTCACATGGTACAAGGCTGTTGTGAATAGCTTTGTACCATGTGACCTCTGTGATCATTCACAGATTTCACACGTAGTAAGCAATGATGTCACAAGTGACATCTTGCTTACTACTTTGCATGTGATCACTGATTGGCCAATTAGTGATCACATGATCGGGACCTCGTACAGAGGTCCGTACGAGGTCACAGAGGACACAGCGATCACCGGATCGCACAGCTGCGCTTTCCCAGGGAGCACGCACAAGCAGGGTGCGGGGAGAGGTCGTTTATAAACGGCCACCTGACCCTGCACTGCCACCGTCCGGCCGTTTATATAGAACGGCCGGTCGGGAAGTGGATAAATGCAGTTACACAGGGTTATTGGCCATATATATATGATATGTATATATATTCCCCATTGGGGAGGAAACCACGTGGGGGCTGTGCGTGCATTTACATCTATACATGCATTAATATTTTTTTTTTGAGGGGGGTCTATCACAAGTTATGCCCCAGTGCCTTATTTATTAGCCTGTGTATTTCCCAATTAAATTAAGGGAAAATGGCGACTATATATGCGCAAAAGACTGTTTTGTTATGGCCTTGTTGCCCCCTTGTTTGGACATTGTTTGTTTCTCTTGGGAGGCTGGCTTCAGGTTTCCCCTCACTTATCTTCCGTAGTACGAGTGCAGCTGTCATTGCTGCCCTGTAATGTACTACCAAACTACCGCAAAATGGCACTCGAGCATGCGTGACCGGCCATCACCAGACTTCAGCAAGATGGCGCAGTCGTACTGCGCATGCACGAGCATTATCTGATCGAGCCGCACGTGTCGCGCATGTGCAGAGCGCTGCGCGACTGAGCGGACGCTACTGTGCATGCGTGGGCGTCTTGCAACGTTTTCACATGCCTGCAATGATTGGGATAACACAGACAACATATAAATACATGACGCACGACACTGGCGTGATGGCCATTCCTTTCTGATGATGTGCTATTGCACAAAACGTGCTAAAGGGGCCTGCACGCCGTGTCGTCTTTTTGCACATTTGGTCAGTAATTGTTTTTACTTGCTTTTATTTATATCTGAGTTATTTTACCACGTGGATTAATAAACACCAATTTTAAACTACTACACTATGGGCTATTTCTTGCTGGCTCCACAGTGAGCCCCATATCCGTTCCAGAGCCCAAGCATCATAAGCCTGTAACACCCGATACCACTTTAAGGATGACGCACGCCCTGATGTAGGCTGCCCAGTATCCTGTCCATTTCCTAGAGGGAGGCAACAGTCTGGCCGCTCTACACCCAGAGGAAGGAGAGTCTGCTAAATGGCCCAGTTCGTCCATCCCATCCCATGAGGGGGACCTCTGGTTTATTTATCACAGGCGTATTGAAAATACGCATCTGGTGAGTGTGCATTTTCACTATTTGTCACCAGACCACAGAATCGGAAAAGTCACTATCAACTTCTGACTAGTTCACCTATCATGAACTGTCACTATTCGTCTATTCATTGTTTTAATATTTTATTGTGGTACTCCTTTTTTTCTATGTAATTTGGAGAGCATACTGATTACAATATATTTTATTGGAATATATATATACATATCATATATATTTCTTTTAGCGCTGCACTTCCTATATATATGTATCTATAAGGTTTAGTTTTTGGTTACCTTGCGTGCTATAGCTGCTATTATATGAAGCGCTCACTGATCACATTCTCTTTATTAGGGTTATCGGCTATGATGGTTTACTACAGTGGACGCTCCTCTTACTTTACGATTATTTTAGGTACAAGAAGCTGTTATAATTGGAAATAGTGGTAAAAGGTTTACAGTTCAGTGAAAAATATTCTCAACCTGCAGAGCACAGATTGCACATTTATTTTACTGGAGCGTGTGCTGACATCAATGGCTGTATAGGAGGCAACAGACTTTCCAACAAGCATGCAACACAGTCAGGCTATAGATCATAGATTTGCAGTTCATCTGTTCCACACAAAGAGATAGGAAATCAGTTTGTTCTCATTGGGCTGTCCAGCTCCTGACAGGATTTACCATGGATAGGCCAGGGCAAACATAAACAGGTATAATCTACATCTCAAGTCTAAAAACCATATGTACAGGAACCGACCCAGACTGCGCTTGAGTACTTCCATTAGAATACAGCTTCCCCGTCCGAACACCGACAACAGACACCACAGCAGACCATACAAGACTAGACGACACCAGTCTGAGACAAAGCCCACACAATATTAGGATAGATCACCCTGTACCCCTGACAGGCACAGGGTGATTTACACATAAGAGGGATATGGGGAGCTGAGACAGGGGTCTCCCCACCTCTCCAAAGTGAGTTGGGTTCCATGGGCCCCTCCATCCAAAGTGACTCCCATCACATATCTCCCCTTTTGGCAGGGGACTAACACTGGAGGAGACACCAAACGGGTTGACTCCAAAGTTAGCCTGTCAGTCCCCCAATGCCGGCACCCACACAGTACCCTAAGCAAATTGTCCCACCACAAAGCATTACTCACCCAGCCAACCTCTGCCTCTTTCGTAGAACATACCCGCCGCTGCGGAGAAGTACGGACTGGTCCTTCTCCCTGAAGTCCACTCAGCCGCTGGAAAGAAGACAGGGTGGCCGGGCCAGCTCCATCATGCTGTTGTAGATCTGGGCCGACTGCCCAGCATCCCTGGAGTATCCAGGTGGTGACTGTAGTCTCATCCACTTTGGTTAGTAGAGGGCAGAGTAAAATCACATAGATAGTCAACCTGATTTCCATTCTCCACTGCAAGGGGTAGTTGTCCTTAGTGGGGGTGGGGCAGAGGTCATTGACTCTGTCCAGCTGCCAGCGCTTTGGCTGTATGGTTTTGCACATTCTGGAGCTCAATCTGCTGCTGGGGAGAGGGCTAATCGCCCCAGCTCCCTGATGCTGTGGAGCCACTGTAGTTGCTAGGCAGAGGCCAGCAGCGCTTTGTCCTATTGCCAGCACTTCTGCTGGGGACCCCACATCTGCTCCGGCTAACTGTGGAGGAGGGAGGCCAGCTTCCTCCACTCCCAGACTGTGGATCTGCTGCTGGGATGACATTCTTCTGTCACTGTCCCCCTGTTGCACAGATCCTGGCTTGGGAGAGAAGACAGTTTCCTCCACTCTGGCTGACTGTGGGGGAGGGAGGACAACCTCCTCTCCCTTCTCCCCCTGGGCCTCTGAAACTATCGCAGGTGTGGGGCAGAGGTCCTGGACCCTCTGTCCAGTTGTCAGCACTTCAGCTGGAGAAGTTTCTTTTACCTCCAAAGATGCTGCTGCTGGCAGGAAATCCCATGTCCCAGTCAGTGGTGTAGGAGAAAGGCTGGCAGCCTCTTCTCTCAGGGAGACTGAAGCTGCTGTTGGTGCTGGGTAGAGCTTAGCAATGTTTGGCCCTGTTACCAGCTCTTCTGCTGGAGGCTCACCATGTTTTCTTCCTATCAAATCTCCAGTCTCTGGAATGGCTAAATGTTCAGGTTACAGGGCTGGTGGCCCTTGGGTCCAGTGCCAGCACTTTGGCAGGTGACTCATCACCCATAACATCCTCCAGTGAAAAATCCATTAGATCCATACATTCTGGGATCTGTAATTGGAGGGATGAGCTGACTGCTCCATCTTCCATACTCTCATCCAGCTGTTGGACAGACGCATTCCTCCATCCAAGCTCGTCCCGTGCAGAAACAGGATCGTCTAGGTAAGCCAGTACTTGCTGCATCCGCCATAAGACCTTTGTTTCCATTGCTGTGGGTGGTATCTGTCTCCTCTCCTGCTATCCGAACCTTGGATCCCGGTGGAGGTTTGGATGTGTTCACAGCCAGGAAGCACAATACCACTGCTTGCCACCAATATAATGTAACCGACCCAGACTGCGCTTGAGTACTTCCGTTAGAATACCGCTTCCCTCCCTTTCACAAATGTTTGTAGAAGCAGTCTGCATGCCTAGGTACTTGATTTTATATGGCTGTGGACATGGAGGTGATTGAAACACCTGAATCCAATGATTTAGAGGGGTGTCCCAATACTTTTGGCAATATAGTGTAGGTACATATGCCTTTAGAGTTTACATCTTAGGCTTGCATAGTCTGGCCCTGTAGTTCCAACAATACGTTTGATTCTAGAAACATAAGATTGATACAATTTGTGAGATCTCTGTTGTACAGCTACCTTCTCCACTTAATGCTCCATGTCCATGCACAACTATCAGCCCGTCTCTGCATGCCGAGGTTCTAGGTGTAATCCTGGACTATCCTTTAGGCCCCATGTCCAATCACTGTCAAAATCTTGCTGCCTCAACATCTCCAAAATACGCTCCTTACTCACCAATGACACCCACAAAGCTCTTAGTTCACTCCCTGGACATCTCTTGCCTCGACTACTGCAACTCCCTCCTCTTGGGATTACGTTTACATAGGCTAGCCCCCCCTTTCAGTCCATCATACATGCTGCTGATCCAGGCTCATCCACCTTACCAACTATTCAGTGTCTGCTACCCCTCTGCCAATCCCTCCACTGGCTTCTGCTCACCCAACAAATTCAATTCAAATTACCAACAACTTACAAAGCCATCCACAACTCCTCCAGCTACATCGCTAACCTGATCTCTAAATACCAACCTAACCAATCTCTTTGTTCCTCCCAAGAACTCCTGCTCTCTAGCTCCCTCGTCACCTCTTGCCATGCTCGCCTCCAGGACTTTTCCTGAGCCTCTCCTATTCTATGGAACTCCCTACCCCACTCTGTCCCACTATCTACTACTCTGTTTGCTTTTAGACAATCCCTGAAAACCTTCCTCTTCAGAGATGCCTTTTCTGCCCCACCTTCATCCCCCAGTTATTGCCGTTTGTAACAGTTGACCCTCCCTCTTTGATTGTAAGGATTCCTCCTATATTAAATTGTATTGTAACTGTACTGTCTGCCCTCATGTTGTAAAGCTCTGCGCAAACCGTTGGTGCTCTATAAATCTTCATCACAGCACAGCTTTGACAGCTATGGCAGTGAGCAGAAAAGAGAGCAGGATAAACTGGGAGAACTTCTGTCCCCTTCTAATGCTGGGACTATACTGAATGCCATTGGCCTTGGATTAGCACCATGCATTTCCATGGAGCTGACAGCTGGCCAGCCTGCACCATGGAAAAATAAAATGCTGTGTGACAGTACCAGAAGCAGTGCGGCACCCCTCACAAGCCGAGGCAGAACACCATGGTTTTAAAAATGCTGCTGTATACTATGTAGAAATGTGAAAAATGGAAAATTTGCTTTGTTTCAGATTTGTTTGTTAAGTTAATAATTTAGTTTCGTCATATTCATTATGGTAGAATGATTTGTTTTTGGAATTAGTTTCGTATATTGTATTCTATTCGAAATTTGAAATTCAGAAGATGGCTATATTCTATTTAAAATTCAAATTTTGGAAGATGGCTATAGTCTTTTTATTTTTTTCCATTCTTTTATTTTCTAGTCTTTTCTATTACTTTATTTTTTATTTTAATTTTTTTTTCTATTCTATTTATTATATTCTATTTGGTTGATCCTTAGCTTTTCAATTCTATTATTTTATATTTTACAGTATAAACACAACTGCCCCAATCTACATGCGTAAGCTGCAGAGCCTCTTCATGGCACCCCAGTATTTTCTGCAGTCCCAACTCTGAGAGCCTCCATCATAGAAGCACATGTACATAATAATAGATAGACTGAGGGCAGGTAAGCCTAGAGGAAGCCCAGCCCTCCTTAATGGCACAGGGGTGCACTGGACACCCAGTATACAGGACAATGGCAGCCAGAGTGTCCAGTGCACTCCTCACCAATATACCAACAGTACAAACAAACAAACTACCCCAATCTATAACTGGCCTTTGCAGCAAAGAGCACGTGGAATGGCCACGCAACAACAAAGAAAAATTCTCAGCTCAACTTACCAACCTGCAACCAAATTACCCTGTGTAACAGTTCACATTAAAAACCAGGGTTTAGTTTGCACACATTTGCAAATACATGCGTAAGCGGCAGTGCCTCTTCATGGCACCCCAGTATTTTCTGCATTCCTAATTTTGAGAGCCTCCATAAGAGAAGCACATGCATAATAATGGTTAGACTGAGGGCAGGAAAGGTGGAGGGAGCCCACCCCTCCTTAAACGCGAACTGTTAGACAGGACAATTTGGTTGGTTTGCAGGCTGGTTGGTAAGTTGAGCTGGGAATTTTTCTTTGTTGTTTTAGATGTTATTCTATAGTTCGCTTGGCAAAGCCAGCTGAATGACACTCATAATTGTTTTAGCTCCCTGTAAGGGCTGAATTCCTCCCATTGACCCCCAATGTTAATGGCACTTGCTTCACTGACCACTGATGAACTGGTTCTGGCAAGGGTTACCCAAGACCTAAAAACTGTTTCAAGGGTGAAAATGTTGATAGAGTTCTGTACATTATACATTCTGCTGTATGTTACATATACTATACACTTCTACTCTGATCTATATCCTGCAACTGTCTGATATCCTTCCAGCAATCACTGTCCCAGACCCATCTATGACCAAATGTCACATTTCCTATAGTGAGGTTGAAAGACCAGCCCATTATTATCATTTTGCTTTGCTGGGCTTTTTTTTGGCTTCCTCTGGATCAATTGTGGTTATAGGATAACTTTTTTTTTTGGTTGAACTGGATGGACTCTGTCTTTTTTCAGCCAGACTAATTATATGTAATTATTAGATACACTACAGTTGCAAGAAAAAGTATGTGAACCCCTTGGGATTACGTGGAGTTTTGCATGAATTGGGCATAAAATGTGCTCTGAACGTCATCTAAGTCACACCAATAGAAGAACACAGTCTGCTGAACATAATACTACACAAAGATTAGATGTTGCCATGGTTTAATTGCACATAACATGTAAACATTCACAGTGCAGGGAGGAAAAAGTATGTGAACCTTTGGACTTAATAACTGGTTGACCCTCCTTTGGCAGCAATAACCTCAACCAAACGTTTCCTGTAGTTGCAGATCAGACCTGCACAACGATCTGGAGTAATTTTGGACCACTCCTCTTCACAAAACTGTTTCAGTGTAGCAATATTCTTAGGATGTCTGGTGTGAATCGCTCTCTTAAGGTCATGCCACAGCATTTCAATCTGGTTGAGGTCAGGACTCTGACTGGGCCACTCCAGAAGGTGTATTCTGTGCTATTGCAGCCGTTGTTTTGTTGAATTACTTGTATGCTTTGGGTCATTGTCCTGTTGCATCACCCATCCTCTGCGGAGCTTCAGTTGGCGGACAGATGGTCGTACGTTTTCCTGCAAAATGTCTTGATAAACTCTGGAATTCATTTTCCCATCAATGACAACAATCCGTCCAGGCCCTGAGGCAGCAAAGCAGCCCCAAACCATGATGCTCCCTCCGCCATGTTTTACAGGGGGGGATGAGGTTTTGATGCTGGTGTGCTGTGCCTTTTTTTCTCCACACATAGTGTTGTGTGTTCTTCCCAAACAACTCAATCTTGGTTTCATCTGTCCACAGTATATTTTGCCAGTAGTGCTGTGGAACAACCAGGTGCTCTTTTGCAACTTCAAACGTGCTGCAATATTCTTTTTGGACAGCAATGGCTTCCTCCGTGGTGTCCTCCCATGTACTCCATTCTTGTTTAATGTTTTCCTTATTGTAGATGTGTCAACAAAAATGTTAGCATGTGCCAGAGATTTCTGTAGGTCTTTAGCTGACACTCTGGGATTCTTCTTTACCTCATGCAGCATTCTGCGCTGTGCTTTTGTAGTCATTTTTACAGGACGACCACGCCTAGGGAGAGTAGCAACAGTACTAAACTTTCTCCATTTGTAGACAGTCTGTCTTACCGTGGACACATGAACATCAAGGCTTTTGGAGATACTTTTTTTAACCCTTTCCAGCTTCATGCAAGTCAACAATTCTTGATCGTAGGTCTTCTAAGAGCTTTTTCTGCGAGGCTTGGTTCACATCATACAGTGCTTCTTGAAACCAGTAAACCCAAAACAGGTGTGTTTTTTTAAGGGCAGGACAGCTGTCAGCAACACATCCAATATCATCACACTGATTGGAGTCAAGGTTGGCTCACTCCTGGCTCCAATTAGCTCTGGGAGAAGTCATTAAGCTAGGGCCTCACATACTTTCTCCTCCCTGCACTGTGAATGTTTACATGTTATGTGCAATTAAACCATGGCAACATCTGTTTGTGTAGTATTATGTTCAGCAGACTGTGTTCTTCTATTGTTGTGACTTAGATGACGTTCAGAGCACATGTTATGCCCAATTCATGCAAAACTCTACATAATCCCAAGGGGTTCACATACTTTTTCTTGCAACTGTATATTGCAAAAGTATTGGGACTCCTGCCTTTACACACACATGAACTTTAATGGCATCCCAGTCTTAGTCGCTAGGGTTCAATATTGAGTTGGCCCACCCTTTGCAGCTATAACAGCTTCAACTCTTCTGGGAAGGCTGTCCACAATGTTTAGGAGTGTGTCTATGGGAAGGTTTGACCATTCTTCCAGAAGCGCATTTGCAAGGTCAGGCACTGATGTCAGACAAGAAGGCCTGGCTTGCAGTCTCTGCTCGAATTCATCCAAAAGTTCTTCTATTGGGTTGAGGTCAGGACTCTGTGCAGGCCAGCACACCAGACTCACTCACCCATGATTTTATGGACCTTGCTTTGTGCATGGGTGTGCAGTCATGTTGGAACAGGAAGGGGCCATCCCCAAACTGTTCCCTCAAAGTTGGTAGCATGAAATTGTCCAAAATGTCTTGGTATGCTGGTGCCTTAAGAGTTGTTGCTGTGCTAATCTGAAGGCCACATGAAGTTTGGAGGTCTTTAGTTATTGGCTCTGCAGACAGTTGGCGAATTCTGCGCACTGTGCATTTCAGCATGCGCTGACCCCATTCTGTCACTTCGTGGCTGAGCTGCTGTTGTTCCCAGTTGCTTGCACTTTGTATACCAAAATAACAGTTGACTTAGAATATTTAGTAGCAAGGAAATTTCACAGATGGACTTATTGCACAGGTGGCAACCTATCACAGTACCACACTTGAATTCACTGAGCTCCATTCTTTCACAAATGTTTTTAGAAGCAGTCTGCATGCCTAGGTGCTTGAGTTTATACACCTATTGCCATGGAGGTGATTGGAACAGCTGAATCTAATGACTAGGAGGGGTGTCCTAATACTTTTGGCAATATAGTGTAGAATAGAATCTCAGATTTCTTTATATTGCCATATTCCCATTGAGAGAAATTACCCTAATTTCCTGGTCTGGTGTCAGGGTGTCACAGGGCCAGGAACAGAGGAGAAATCTCCCTAATTAATGAAAAAAAAAAAAACAAAAAAAAAAAACCCCCACCTTTCTAAATACAGAGGAGAAAGGATAGAGTTTGTGCAATATTTTTCAGATATTGCTTGTTGTCCTGCCCCAGTATTGCTCAAGCCCCTTGTTTCTTGTCTTGGTAAGATGGGAGACCGGAAAGAAGGGGAAATCTATCCAATGGGTGTCACAAAGAGCAGCTGAAATTCGGCATATATTTTACCCCTCCCCGCTTCAACCAAAATAAAAAAAAGTTTGGATAGAGTTAAAGCTGAACATCATAAGCACATTTTGTCTAAATATGAGGCATGTGTATTCTTACTTGAATCTTGGTGGGCTTTTGTGAATTTTTTTCCAGATTTCTGCAGTAATCAAGCCTAAAACCTTGCATTTGTACAGGAACTTCTTGTAATAAAGAACAGTCACTGCTGCTTTCTATCCTTGTGCAGGGTGACTGGCCTGGTCTCCACCCGCCTTGTGTGATTTTCTGCAGGCAGCTTGTATTGGGTGGATCATGCCGGGCCCCTCCCTCAGTTGTGCTCTGTGCAGTATGTGCAGTACACTAATATCACCTAGTAATGGGACAGGTTCCTCCAGCACCAACGGCAGGGAATCAGAATTGTGCCCCCACTGCTAATGCATGGCATAGAATGGGTGTATTACCCTGTGCTCATTCTTTGCTCTTTTTTGCTGCTGGCTGTACTTGGTTGGCATGTGGAGTGCACTGCATATACGTGGCCAATCACTTGCCTTCTGGCAGCTAGAAGGTAGTTGCGCATGCACTGTGTTTTTCATGTCAGCTATAGGTGTGTGATAGGGCTTAATCGAGCACGGTGTGACAGCAGTACTTGTCAGAGCAGACAAAGCTTCTGGTTGCCAGCCACTGAGCTGGATCGCGCAGTAATGGGATGACCCATCCTACCAATGGACCCGGGGCAGCTGCCCCTCCCGTCAAACCCTTGTCCAGGCCTTGATATCACCATTACTTTTACAAGGAAATAACTGTGCTTACAAAGGCACTTCGTGCATAAAAAGTGAATATATATGCTTTGTGGCTAATAGGAGATATATTTAAATGGACGTTTTCTTGCCCAGAGTTCAGCTTTAAGTTTAACAAGCATGGGTATTATATTATTTCACCACTGAATGGAAACCAGTTCATATCAAGTCCTACCTAGCAAAGAATTATTTAAACAATTTAACTTTCCATCTATATGTAATAATGGTGGAAGGATATGTAGAGAACACGCCTGTTTTTCTTTTGTACGGGGCAAGCAATTCCAAAGACTAAAACATGACAAAAACACAATTTCACAGCATATTAGGGCCCTCACAAATCTGCAAATGCACACATAGGTTTACGGAAATTTCTGAATGTGCTTCACATTAGATTCGTTTTCATATCAAGTTAAGTGTTCCTTTAATGGGTTACCATAGCAACACCATTTCCAGCATTTCTCTGAGCGCCTTGTGCATTGTCCTTAGTTATTTCATTAGTGCCATACCTTCTATATTGCAAACAGATGACAAAGGACCCTCGAGCATCCACTCCTGATTGTGGCTAAACAGGCAGACCTTTGTATACTCCATGGGGTCATGGTCCCCATGTGACTATTATGCTGCAGGAGTGCAAACATAAACTAGTCAATTAAAGCAAATATGTAGCTGCTTAATCCTGCTTCCATAGCTAGGCAGAATTGTTTGATTTAATTGCACTATATTGTCAGAGGTCTTCCATGCTTTATATTGGAATAATAAACAGTCATGGATAATTCAGATACACATGCTTAGAGAGGCACATAATTAAAGCACCTTTTTATATACTGCTTTTGATTTATTGTCATGGAAGGAAAGCAAAGGGCTGAGTGAGGTCCTGACCCAGCAGCTGTGACTTGATGATAATTTAAGGTGATGTGACGTACAAATCCCCAAAGATCTGTGTATCCACACATGGCACAAGACCTTCCATTATGACCAGCTTGAAGGACCAAAGTCCTAGTCTATTCTACCTAACCCTGTAAAGATACTTACTATACTTACCTTTACTGAAGCTGCTCTGGTCTGGTCCCATGATCAGTTGTCAGCGACAGCTGTTTAAGAGGAGGGACAGCCGACAACAGATGTAACATAGAAAACCTATGAGTGACATCTCCCAGGCATTTGCAGCCATTGTTGGCGATCTCACCTGTACACAGAGGACACCACTGTCAGAACAGTTAAGTATAGAGATATTTTCTTTAGAGGGTTAGATAGACTTGGTTTAGCCTTCGTTAGATTTTGACTGAACTTCCACTTTAAGGCCTTGTTCACATGAGCTTCAGGTTGTATAGGAACAGCATGCACAGCAAGATTTTAAATAGCATTTGCAAAGCTTGCAGCAAATTTTATTGAAGTTTTTAGTTTGAGGATGCTAAAGCTGAAGTTTAGTTATTTTTTAAATCAGGACCAGGGATAGTACTTTCATGAATGGTGAGTGTCCCATGTGTTGGTAACTGCTGTGTTCTTTCAAATCTTCAATCCTCTGCCCAACCCCTCCACCCCCCAAGTACCCCACAGCTGTAATCTTCCAATGCTGTAGGGGGTTAATATGAGCAACTGCATCTGTCACAGGCACATGTCAAACTTGCTGACTATGGCTGCCCTTTCCATCCCCTAACTCCATTCATAGAAGCTGTACTAACTAAGCTCAACACTCACTGGATTGGAGGTATGCTCTGCAATCAAATCTGTTTACACCTGACTGCCCTCCGATCTGCCTCAACACTGTATTGGGGACTGGATTGGAGGTATGCAGGTGTAAATGAAAACAAATCTGTTTACACCCAATGGTCCATAGGGGTGAATAGAGGGTCTTACACCTGACTGCCCTCCGATCTGCCTCAACACTGTATTGGGAACCGGATTAGATTGGAAATATGCAGGTGTAAATGAACACAAATCTGTTTACACCCACCGGTCCATAGGGTGAATAGAGGGTCTTACACCTGACTGCCCTCCGATCTGCCTCAACACTGTATTGGGGACTGGATTGGATTGGAGGAATGCAGGTGTAAATGAACACAAATCTGTTTACACCCACCGGTCCATAGGGGTGAATAGAGGGTCTGATCAGGTCTGCCAAAAAAAAAAAACGGACATGCGGACCTGATTAGAACGTTCATGTGAAACAAGCCTAACAATGTTTTAGAAATACTTTGTTTTTGTACTTATTAATGTTTTAATAAAAGCATCTTTCCTAAATTTAACTAGTGTAAGTACCTGAATTTGACTTGGTTTCACCTGTTTGAAGTCCTTGTACAGCATAGCTCAGACTGGATGAGAGGAGCACAAAGCGTGCTACAGTTCTCTTTTAGGCTAACAAAGAACATGCTGTTAGGAGCGCCTAAGGATTGATGGACAAAAATAAGAATCCTTTGGTAGGTAAAGCAGCACTCATGTATGTATTTCATCTGTACATTTAGTCCTTTGCCTGGAATTGAGATTTAAATAAAAATGCATTTAAGGTTGCTGTAATTTATTGTTAGAAAAAAAATTCCCTCTCATCTCAGTCTGCAGGCAGCTTTCATTTTCAAAAACGCAACAGTACCCAACACAGAGCTTTCCAAATTTCTCATTCATCTACATGAGATTGGCTCTATCTGCACAGAGCTTGGGGACAAATTTCAGGTAGCTCAGGCAACAGAAATTTCATTGCTGCAAGCATTTTAAATAGCATGTAAACAAAATGATACCGAGGCCATAGCATTCCTTGTAACAGAACCAAAGCCAATTGTGCAATTATAATGAAGGCAGAACCTCCCACTTAGCAGTCTTTTCAGAAAATACAGGCAAGGTCTATATTAATATCTACAGAACCTTCTAATGAACATGGCTGACCTTGAGATGTCAGGTTTTTTTTTTTTTTATTAAAAACAGGAGTTTCACATTAAAGCATAAGATGTGAAAAACTAAATACCATCCACTATGAGGACAAGAGAAGCAGAGGGTTGTTAACGCGTGTGTGTGTGTGCGTGAAGGATAGTTTCTGATTGGACACTACTTTTACTGTACTTTAAGGCTGCATTCACACTTGGACAATTTGCAGCTTGAAGCTCGAAAAACGTTCAAATTTTAAAAATCAATTGCTCTCTATGGTGCCTGTTCACACCTGAACAGGCACCATAGTGAACAATTTTTAAAAAAAAAAAAATTTTTCGAGTGTTTTTGGAGCTTCGAGAATCAAACTACATATTGCTCAAGTGTGAATACAGCCTAAAGCGCAAGTTCACCTAAAAAAGAAAGGTCCACTCGCCCCCCCCCCCCGGAACTTTTTTTTTCTTTTTCAGGGAGTGGGTAGCTTGTTTTGGCAGGTGCCCACTCTCACCCACCCTCCCTTCCCTGCAACCTCCTGGGATGCATCACAGGCCCCAGGAAAATGAGGCTGCGGGTCCATTCACACAGTGCAATGCTGATAAATACAAGCAGATAATTATCCATTGTGCCATACCATCAAGGTAGGCATGTGATTGGTCCCAAATTTATTCTTCAGCAGAACAACGACCCCCAAAACATACATCCAATGTCATTAAGAACTATCTTCAGTGTAATGAAGAACAAGAAGTCCTTGAAGTAATGGTTTGGCCCCCACAGAGCCCTGATCTCCACATCGAGTCTGTCTGGAATTACATGAAGAGACAGAAGAATTTGAGGCAGCCTACAACCACAGAAGATCTGTGTTTAGTTCTCCAAGATGTTTGGAGCAACCTACCTGTCGAGTTCTTTCAAAAATCATGTGCAAGTGTACCTAGAATAACTGAAGAATTGACACTGTTTTGAAGGCAAAGAGTGATCACACCAAATATTGACTTGGATTTCTATTCTGTACCTTTACTTACCATTTTGTGAATTAATAAGCTATGAACACTTTGATTTCTGAAAGCTTTCTTCACTTGCAATGTTTTTCACACCTGCCTAAGACTTTTGCACAGTACTGTATATCTTACAGGCATGACAAATCTTGTTAGTTGGTAAGAGAACTCACAAAAACAAATTATGATTTTAGAAGTTAGGCTTAAGCTCGGCTTTAGCCCCATTCAAACCAATGCAATTTGTCAGTTCAAAATCGCAAGACAAGTTCATATATCTGAAATCAATACCTTTGCAACGCAATTTGAGCGCATAGAGAATGAATGGGCCCAAATCGCACTGCAAGAATCACATATGATTTGAACAGGAATGAAGTGCGATTCCTGTCTGAATCACATTTGGTTTCCCGCACTGCTCCTGTGTGAACACAGGCTTGTTATAGTGACTTTAGCCTGGGTTCACACAGGAGCAGTGCGGGAAACCACATGCAGTTTGGACAGGAGTCGCACAGCATTCCTGTTCATATCCCACGTGATTCTTTGCATTGCGATTTGAACCTATTCTTTTCATATGGGCTCAAATGACACTGCAAAGGTATCGGTAATGGGCATAAGCGTGTACTTCAGCACAAGTATCGGTACTTGTACTTGCCGATAAAAACCGGTGTTGGTGCAACCCTACTGAAATGTATATGGACGGTATACAAACTCTCAGACACACTTCAGAAATGAGACACACTATATTGTGTATTACCTCTGACCAGCAGCACATTACAAGGAGATTAGCCATGCTGCACCTGAACACAAAATTCATTCCTCCATCTCCTGGTTGGACCAGGAAAGAGAAGCTGCCAAACAAGTTAATCAAGAAGCATACTCTGTGCACACATCATAAACGAGTCTCTAAAAAAAATTAAAATAAAAAAAAAAAAAAAAAAAGAAGAAGATGATGGTGGGAGCCCAGCAAATACCCTCTTGGCCTTGTCCATTAGCAGCTGACACTAAGACACTACTAGGGAAAGAGATAGAGTACTGGCTTGTAGTCACCACCATTCGAGGGCAATAGGGTTATGATTCAAAAAGGATCAAGTTCCAGTCTCTCTGAGCCCTGTAAGACTCCACTCCTCCTCCTCTGCTGGTGTTTAGGGTTGGGTGCCGGTGGATAAAGGAGTGGATCAAACAAAAGGTTGCTCCTAATCAGTAGAGAATAGATCCCCGGCAGAAGGAAGAGGTGCCAGTCCACCTGTAACATTGGGAAGTAGTGACAGGTCAGGCAGGCTCTGTATATGAGACTTCAACTCTTTCCGGACCTGCGTTACACGGGCAAGCTTCTGTTTGTACTCCTGCAAAACAAAAATCCAGAGATACCAGAAATTAAAACTTTAATAGTAGTTTTGATATTTGCTAAAATGTGTTCTACACAACAGAATACACTTAATTTATTTGCCATATAATACATTTTATGGATAACACATTCTAGCTGATGAGCATTTCAACAGTCAGTTAGAACTGGAGGCAGTACAATGTTTGGGATGGAGAGGACCTTGTGGGCTTTATCTAGTGACAGTATGTATCACAGTAGTGGAATCCAGTAAAGCACAGAATGGATCAAATAGACATTTTCAGTTTTAGGTAGGCTGATCCTGAAGCCTTTCATCTGAGGCCTTTCCTTTCACGAGGTAGATAATTTATACCATCTCTCTGGAAACCACTTGCACCATCCTCATTGATAACATGGATACAACTAGTGCAAGGGTATCCAAACTTTCTAAACACAGAGACAGTTTACGGTCTTTCAGACTTTAGGAGGGCCAGTGGGAGTAATCAATGCCCTACCTTTGGTGCCAGTGGGAGGACTAGTGCCCAAACAGTGTCAGTGGAAGGATTAGTGCCACATTGTTGTTGTCAGTTTGAGGAATTGTGCCCTTTCGTTGTTGTCAGTGGCAGGAATTGTGCCCTTTCGTTGTTGTCAGTGGGAGGAATAGTGCCCCATTGTTGGTGACAGTGGAAGGAATAGTGGTTCATCGTTGGTATCAAGGGATGGAAGTATGCCTCATCGTTGGTATCAATGGATAGAATTATGCCTCATCGTTGGTATCAATGGATGGAATTATGCCTCATCGTTGGTATCAATGGATGGAATTATGCCTCATCGTTGGTGTCGACAGACGGAATTGTGCCCTATCGTTGGGAGTCCTTGAGAGGAATTGTGCCCCACTGTTGGTGTCAGTGGATGAAATAGTGCCCCAAGGTCCGTTAAAGGCAAGCAAATGGAGACAGACCACTGATCTAGTGAATGATATCAAGAGAATGGAGGAACTCTTATCTTGGGTATCAGAATCATAAGCCACGTTTGTCTCCCAATGGAGATTTTATTCTCCCTCAGATGCCCTAAAAAGTAGACTCCAATTGTACACTGCCCATGTAAGCCTCCAAACCCACCCTCACAGTTGAGTACAGGTTTTCTTAGCCATTAGAGATTATCTCCAAGGTGAAAATTCTTAGGTTTCACTATATTTCGACCCTTCATTTTGAGATCCCCAAACCAGACTGCATCTCTGCGTGAATTTTCATGTTCACATCTTTTGTTTTTTTTGAAGTTAGGAAAGTTTAGCCCTCAACAGAATATCTGTAATTCGTTACAAAATAAACTTATTTAACCAGGCACAATGTGGATGGTTTATGAAGCAAAATGCTAACAGAATTAGATAGATTTGGTTGTTCTGTGTGTATTTGTGACTTCAGTCTTTTCTCTCCTAGACAGCTTTAAGTAAACTAGTCATAAGAGAAATACAAGGCTGGCACAGCCGACCCCCTTCTGAAAATGCCAGACATCTGACACGCCAAACCTGTATGATGCTGGACTCTTCCAGGCACAGGGAGAACTTGCAAGCTCTCGCCCGCCAACTCCCACTGTGATTGGACACAGCGAGATTTTGTCAACAGGTCCTGGCCAATGATTCATGGCCAGAACCTGCTGATAAGCTGTCTCCAATCACAACCCAGAGCCCTGTGCTGACAATCAACACAGAGCTCTGTACAGAGGAAACAAAGATGTTTAGTATAAAGCAGCACATAATACACACATTAACACTTGTTAGGAACACACTTAACCCCTTGATTACCCCGAGATGGTAACCCCTTCCCAGCCAGTGTCATTAGTACAGTGACAATGTATAGTATTATCACTGATCACTGTATTAGTGTCACTGATGTCAGTGTCAGTCCGTTCTCATCCAGTATCAGTTAGTGTCAGATTGTCTAGCGACTATGAAATCACAGTATCACAGTCGCTGATCACTGCCATTACTAGTATTAAAGAAATAAAAATTGCAGCATATATCCGATAGTTTGTAGACGCCATAAATTTCGCACAAACCTATCAATATACAATTATTGGGAATTTTTACCAAGTAGCAAAATACATTTTGACCTAAATTTTGTAAGAAATTTGATTTTTATAAACAAAATTTTTTTTTTTGATATGTTTTATAGCAGAAAGTAAAAAATATTTTTGAATGTCAAAGCGGTACATTGTTTTGCAAGGAAATTTGTTGTTTTATATTGTAGACCTGTAATTCTTAGGAATAATTCACTTAAATCTGTCCAAACAAGAGTTTAGTAAACAGGTATGATAAACACAAAAATTTTAAATATAATAATTATAAAAAATAATAATATAATATTAATAAATTTAATAATGTCAATGTCTGATGCCGAATTTCCCCACAAATCACTATCGCTCAATTCTGCAAGTGATTCTAATTCACTATCGCTGTTTTCTAGCTGGTTTAAAACCGCCTTTAGTTTAATAAAAAAAAAAAAATATTAAAAACTCAGTGGTGATCAATTAACACCAAAAGAAAGCCCTATTGTGCGAAAAAAATTATATATATTTTGTATGGGTACAGCGCTGCATGACCGCACAATTACCAGTTAAACTAGCGCAGTGCTAAATAGCAATAAATGGCCTGGTCATGAAGGAGGTAAAACCTTCCGCAGCTGAAGTGGTTACCATAGATGTGAACACTCACTGAATGAAAATTGACCTTCATGGCAGGATCACTATTATTTTAATGAAAGCTGCACATTTAGGAATATTGAAAATGCCTTTTGAAATTCCAGGTTAAAGCTTATATGAGATTTTAGTTATTGAGGATACATATACCGTATTTTCCGGCGTATAAGACGACTTTTTACCCCTTGAAAATCTTCTCAAAAGTCGGGGGCCGTCTTATACGCCGGTATACGGCATGCTGACACTTTTTAGGGGGGCGGCACGGTGCCGCCGCTGCCCCCCCTTCCAACGGAAGGGACACTAAGTACAGGGGTGAGCAGGGGCTGCTGTCTCTTACCTGGCTCCGGTCCCGCGACGATCCGGTCCAGGAAGCGCGGCTGCTCCTTCATTCGGTTCGGCCACTGGATGTTCGTGCGGCTGCTCGGCTCCGCCTCCTCACCGGTGATTGGTTGCCAGAACTGTAGCTCAGGAAAGGCACACAGGCGGCCAATCACCGGTGAGGAGGCGGAGCTGAGCAGCCCCGCGAAAATCGAGTGAAGGAGCGGCCGGTAAGTGTGCCGTGCAGAGGTGCTGCTGCAACCACATATGCTGACTGCAGCAGCACCATACTAGAACAGGTGTAATTGGTGTCATTGGGAGGAATAGTGCCCCATCATTGGTGTCACTGATACCAATGATGGGGCATTATTCCTCCCCCCCCCCACTGACACCAACAATGGGGCACTATCCCCCCCCCCACTGACACTAACGATGGGGCACTATTCCCCCCCCCCCACTGACACCAACAATGGGGCACTATTCCCCCCCCCCCCCCCACTGACACCAACAATGGGGCACTATTCCTCCCCCGCCCCCCCACTGACACCAATGATGGGGCACGATTCCTCCCACTGACACCAAAGATGGGGCACTATTCCCCCCACTGATACTAATGACGGGGCACTATTCCTGCCACTGATACCAATGATGGGGCACGATTCCTCCCACTGACACCAATGATGGGGCACGATTCCTCCCACTGACACCAATGATGGGGCGCGATTTCCTCCCACTGACACCAATGGTGGGGTGCTATTCCTCCCACTGACACCAATGATGGGGCATGATTTGTCGCTCTGACACCAATGATGGGGCACTATTCCTCCCACTGACACCAATGATGGGGCACTATTCCTCCCACTGGTGTGCACTGGAAGAGGGGTAGTCTTATACGGCGCGTATAGCCCAAACACTACATTTTAACAGGAAAAGTAGGGGGTCATCTTATACGCCCAGTCGTCTTATATGCCGGAAAATACGGTACTTTAGTGTATCGGTATTTGTGTTATGTATGTATTTTTGCATGGCAGAGTTTATAGGAGGCCCCTGTATGTGTCTTTTCTGTTCAATATGCCTGGTTTATAGTGCCAAACTGACCCTATTTGCTCTGAATGGCAACCTGAATTACTTCTATCTATTCCCAACAGAGATGAAAATGAAAAACATAGCTGCAAGGGGAACACATTTCAGCCGTCCAACATACTGCCTATCAACTGCTGGAGCGCAATCCTTAATGGTGATGAGACAATTCATAACTCATCAACTGACACAAATTATTGCTGGTGTGCAAAAATTCAAGACATACTTTGCTACAGATCTCATCCATGTCAGGTACTCTGCACAAGCCGAGCCATGTTTATAAAATGTCTCAGTTAAAAAGCCCCCACACCCTTTAATCATCCATTGCAATGACATCAAGCCTGGATCTGCTCATTATAATAGCTAAGCCCACTGCTCGGCCCCCTACATCAAATCAGGAGTGGAAAAATTAAAGAAATATGTGCTGCAACATCCATCTGGACTTTTCATAAACCTTTGTGAATTCCCAATACCATATACGATTTCCAGGAAATGATGTATTTCCTTGTTTGAAAATGTTCCACCGCTCCTAGGGATCGAAGGAGACAGGAAGGAATAGAGTCTGATTTTTAACCGCATGCCGCCCAGCCACTGTACATGTACGGCGGCAGGGCGGCACTCACAGGCAGAACCACATTTTAAGACCGCAAATGTCAGTCGCCGGGTCACAGCCGCTCCTTAGCGGCTATGTCCCGACGATCAGCGGCAAATAGTGACAGAGAGCACAGCTGCAGTAGCTGTGCTGTCTGTCACTTCCCTGACAGCTCGAGGATGAGCTGATCGAGAAAGAACAGTTTTTCTTTCTCGATCAGCCTTGTCCCGCCCAGCACACACCCCCCCCCCCCTAGTAAAACACTCCCCTCACTCCTATAACCCTTCCCTGCAAAATAAAGTTAACCCCTTCCTCCCCATTGCCATTAGAACAGT